ATCCCCCACAGCCACTTCCTCCTGTACCACTATCCCCTCCCTCTTAGATTGTAAGCTCAAAAGAGCAGGGCCCTCAAACCCCTTGTGTATTGTCTTGTTACTGTATTGTCTCATGTTCTGTCCCCCACTATAATGTACAGCACTGAGCAAACCTTTCTGACGCTATATAAATACTGTATAATAATATAAGGGAATGTTAAAGGGCCAGAGACAAAGAGTGATAATATTGAAAATGCATCCTAAACAGGATGTGAAAGGGATATTAAAAAAAAAAAAAAAAAAAACGGGGGGGATTTCGAAAGCACAATAACAGTGCTGGATAACAAATGCATAACTAAGTGTAGACAACGGGTGATATTGTGATATGGGGGATTCTTGGCTCAATAGTAGATGCATTTTTTAGTGAGTTCACGCCAGACAGGAACTAAACTTAAGGGCCTGTTAGCCCACTTTTATTAAACAGTAATTGAAAAGTCTTTTCAACACAAGGTTTCCCACGCAGGGGGTTTCAACTTCACTCAAAATAATACACAGTGGAAATGCCGAGCCACCTGACTCTCTGTTTAGCAGTACCTCTGCTTGGCTGGGTCTCCCAGACCATTGACTATTCGGGCTCTCTCAGCCTAGGTGACAGCTCCTCACTGTTCAGGCCCCACACGGCCTCTTGACAGAGTTTTCCCTGTACCTTCGCTTGCTTCCTCCAGAGACTCACGGATTCCCTCCAGCCCCTTGGACTCACTGGCCTCTGCAGCTTCCTCAGTCTCCCAGACCTTCTCTTGCTCAGTCCTTGGGCCCAGAATCCCCCTCACATGGGTTGTAGTCTCCACCAAGAGTTTCCACCTCTCCTGACAGGGCTCTGTCTTCAGGCTTGTAGCAATAGCAACTGTTATTCCACCACCACCACTTGTGAGCTATGCTCAGATCTGTCTTATAACGATTGTGTGCACCTGGACACACACACGCACCCTGCAGAACTTCTGAAAAACCTGGACACAGGACTGAAGACTTGGTCCCACCCAATACTGTTTGGAGAATTCAAGCTTACAGCCCCGATCCAGACTTACCAAATCCAGGGAAAGCTTAAAGCGGAGTTCCACTCACCTTGTCAAAAAATAAGTCAGCAGCTACTAAAACCATAGCTGCTGACTTTTAAAGAATAGCCACTTACCTGTCCCACGGTGTGTCCCCCGCAGCCCATTTCACCGGCCGTCCTGTATTCCAGGAGGCCAGTATCTTCAGTGTGGGCACCTGGTTGTGGTAGCTTGCAGCTTGAAAGCCGGCTACCCACTGTGCATGTGCAAGAAGCGTTGTGCTTCATGAATGGCCCTGTAGTCTTCTGGAACCTGTCACATGTCCCAAAAGACTACAGGGAGGGAGAGAGGACACCTTCTGCTTTCGATCACCTAGGCGATCGGACTGGAAGTGGGAGTGGGTATCTGTCAAATTCGTTGCTACAAGGTGCTTACACTGGATCTCCAGTATACACCGTGTTCCAAATTACTATGCAAATGATATTTTTCTCATTTGCCTAAATAATTGATGTAAATAAGTCAGCATAATTCTCATGTTATCAACTATTAAGAGTACAATTCACATTTTATTGAACAAACCTCCTAATGATAACAGGATTTTTGTTAAATATAAAAAAAAACTTACAATGCACTGTTCCAAATTATTACGTACAGTAAGTTTCTAAACACTTTATAGGTTGTAAATAACTGAAAATTGTCATTTGTTGTGTTTGCAGCATATTTACTGAAATCAAAAGCTATTTCAATCAAACTTTTACAACATTTTAACTTTTTAAACATTTTAACAGGTCACGTTACATTGTAACATAGGACCCCTTATTTGATAGCAGCTTCACAAGTCTTGCATCCATTGAACTTTGTGAGGTTTTTGGACAGTTTCTGCTTGAATTTGTTTGCAAGATGTCAGAATAGCCTCCCAGAGTTGCTGTTTGGATGTAAACTGCCTCCAACCCTCATAGATCTTTTGCTTGAGGATGCTCCAAAGGTTCTCAATAGGATTGAGGTCAGGGGAGGATGGAGGCCACACCATGACTTTCTCTCCTTTTATCCCCATAGCAGCCATTGATGCAGAGTTATTCTTTGCAGCATGAGATGGTGCATTGTCATGCATGAAGATGATTTTATTACGGAAAGCATAGTTCTTCTTTCTGTACCAGGGAAGAAAGTGGTCAGTCATAAACTTCACATACTTTGCAGAGGTCATCTTTACACCTTCAGGGGCTCTAAAAGGGCCGACCAGCTCTGTACCCATGATTCTGGCCCAAAACATGACTCCGCCACCGCCTTGCTGACGTCGCAGCCTTGTTGGAACAGGGTGGCCATCCACCAACCATCCACTACTCTATCCATCTGGACCATCCAGGGTTGCACGGCACTCATCAGTGAACAGGACTGTTTGAAAATTAGTCTTCATGTATTTTTCTGCCCAATGCAGCCGTTTCTGCTTGTGAGCATTGGTTATTAGTGGCCGAATAGAAGGTTTAAGCACAGTTGCAAGACTCTGGAGGACTCTACACCTTGATGTCCGTGGGACTCCAGAGGCACCAGCAGTTTCAAATATCTGTTTGCTGCTATGTAATGGTATTTTAGCAGCTGCTCTCTTGATCCGATGCATGGATCTGGCAGAAATATTCCTCAATGTGCCTTTATCTGCACGAACCTGTCTGTGCTCTGAATCAACCACAAATCTCTTAATAGTGCGATGATCAAGCTTACGTTTTTGTGAAATATCTAATGTTTTCATACCTCATCCAAGGCATTGAACTATTTCACTCTTTTCAGCAGCGGAGAGATCCTTTTTCTTCCCCATATTGCTTGAAAATGGTGCTCTGCTTAATAATGTGGAACACCGTCCTTTAGTAGTTTTTCCTTAAATTGGGCTCACCTGCCAACCTAATTATCACAGGTGTCCGAGATTGTTTTCAGTGATCAAAGGAGCCCTGACACACAATGCCATCCATGAGTTAAACTGAAAAACAAAATATTTAATCTTTGTGACACTTAAATACAATTTGCATAATAATTTGGAACGCGGTGTAAAGACCTGCAAAAAAACTATGAAGACCAATATCGGTGGCCCTTTTTGTGTTTTTCTTTTGCTAGCATCAAGAAGTTCTTCCCTGCCTCCACACCCACCCCCTTTGCTGTCTGCAACCTTCTAGAACATGTCATAGGTCCCAGAAGGCTGCGGGACCATTCTCAAAGCACAGTACAGTGGGAAAGAAACCACTACAAGGGTAGGAAATATTTTTAGGTATGCTGTGTGAATTGAAACAAAAAAGCATAGTGGGAGCTTCTCATATTTTGACTGCAAAAGTGAAAATGCACTTTAAAGCTATTGAAGCCAGTGAACCAGTATGACAGCTAGCATTTTAGACAGATGGATAGGTAATGGCAGCCTATGGTGTTTTTTTTGGGGGGTTTTTTTTTTTTCCCCTCATGAAGTAAAACTAGAATGGAGACCAAGTGATACCAGGGTACATACTATATGTGACAGACTACGCTCACCCCATGGCACGCAGCAGTTTTTTGAGTAAAACTCTGCAAAAAATTGTCTGTCAGTATCTTAAAGAATTTCTTAGATTTCAAGGTGATTCTGTTTGACTTCATTTTAAGGTGAGCCACGAAGTAACTTTGTGATAAATTATTTTGTTTACTTTTTTAGTTTCATTGTATTTAAAGATTTAATGATAAACTCTTGTGCTTACTGTTTGCAATTCAGTCAACCTGATAACCTAAAGGTATCTGAAAGTAAATAGTAGGCAATGCACTTTGAGCTTTGGATTATTTGAATGTTTGACTACCGAAGTGGCTGAGAACTTTTGTTTCTTGATGTTTAGTCTACAATTGTTAGCCAGCATCTTCATTCATTTTTTGTTGTCTGCCTATATTCCATTTTAGGTGACCAATTCCATTTATATGGTTATTAAAATCTTTAGTTTTCTAGGATACTTGGATTTATGTTCATTACACCAGTATACCCTGCTAAGGAGGAAGTGTTGGTTTAGGCGGAAGATGAGTTAGACTTAAATCCCATCTTGTAATGCTGTTCTGCAAACAAACTGGCCATATTTTCTCAGTTTGTCTGTTCAAACCTATCACTGATATTTGTAAACAAACCTCAACCAGGGATCTGCAAATTTGCTATGGTAGCATTACCTGGCTGGCACTTGGACAGTGACATTATCCAGGATCCCCTTCCAGTTTGTTTACAGCCAGGATCTGTCATTTTGTCGTAATCGGGCCTCCGGTCTTCTTGGCATATTGGAAACGGTGCCGAGTTGTTGGTCTTTGTTGGTGAGGATCTATATTGCTAGTTGAAATTGATGTTGGATTTGCCTGTTTTTGGGGACATGACTCATAATGGGGACAAGGTACTTTGCAAGGAGCATGCTTTGATGCCCCCCTCTTCCTGGCATGGTACCCTACCAATGGTGAAGGCAAGGGACAGTACACATTATATAATCGTGTGTGTGGTGGGTGGGGAGACAGTGTGAGGTTCCTCCTAAAATTCCAGATTTCTATTTTTTAATGGACTGAGCTGCCTGTGTGTAACAGGCCTACGTTTGTTTCTTCTAGACTTGTACTTTGGGTTAATTTGCTTGCTTGTACCTGAACTGCTTTGGTTGTAGTAAACAATCAAAATATCTGTACCAGCTGAGAGGGGAGACTTATTTCTCCCTCAAGCAGATTCATTTACAGGCAGGATGAATTACCTACTTTCTTACAAACATTCCCCAGTCTGGCAGTAAGCTGCTGGATCAGGTGAATGTTCTCTGATTTGTAGATGTGTTAATTTCAGCAGTGGGTCTTCTGCCCTCCACTGTATATCCCTACAGTGGACATACATGGCATTGTGTTTTTTGATATCAAGAATGTAAATGAATGGATGAAAAATGTCCAACATAAGTAAGCACATGCTGATTGTTACTGTCATTTTGTACATAATTTTTTTTACCTTTTCCTCAGGGAAGCTCCTCCTTAATCTGATGGATCATACTGAAATTGTAGAGATTTGACATTTGCTCCAGATGGCAGCCTTATTCTTGTTTCTGCTTCCAGAGACAAAACACTCAGGGTGTGGGACCTGAAAGATGATGGTATGTTTCCAACTTCTTTTTTTTTTTTTCCCTCTTTGCCAAAAATATATTTTGTTTTAAAGGCTCCAAATTAATTGAGTTCTCCAGGCTAGCATTTCTAAGCGAAAACTGAACTTTGATGGATATCTATCTATTTATCTTCTCAACCTTAAAAGTTATACTTTAAAATGCATTGGTTTCCTGTTCAATTCTAGGCAGGCTAATAGGTCCAAGCCTGATGGTAGGTAATGGATTCTGTTGTGGTAATATTCTATTTGGTTTAGATTAGCAATACAAGATATAGCAACGGTCTAATCCAATCTTCAGGCAAATGTTTGCTACCTACCCAGCCCGATGGGTAGCACATAATCCTTAGTCATGCAGTGCAGCTTCTAAGATTTCCTGCCTATCTCCAGACTGCTCAATAAAGTCAGCAACATTATCTCTGTTAAGTTAGAAGGAAGGGGGATCCAGTAAGTATTAAAACTGAATCAGAATGTAGCAGTGATTTTTCTGGCTGTGCATTGTGACAGTTGTGTAAATCATAAAATGTGCTAAATTATATTCCATATTAAACACCACATGTTTTTAACTATGAGATTGGATGTTTTCCATTCAGTGTGAAGCAACCGGTTAATTTCAACCGCCTCCTGCCTGCCATATAAGGTAATGACGGGAGGGCAGCAGTTCTCTCATTCTGGGAGGACGTCATATGACGTTCTCCCACTCTACGTGCGTGGGGGCGCGCAGCGATCGGTGGTGCGCTGTGTACTTAGGACACAGTGGATCACCGATCACTGTAACGAGCCGATGATGCCGATGATCACATGTAAATAGGAAATGCCGGTTATTGGCAGTCCTCTCCCCCCTGACAGCTCGAGAGGAGAGTCGGTAATTGGCATTACTCATAGGGGACATCTACACTGATCATCAGGGCACTAAGCCACCTGTCAGTGCCCATCAATGCCACCTGTAAATGCCTATCAATGCCAAATACCAGTGCACATCAGTGCCACATATCGGTGCCTTTTTTTCTCTCTACATTTTCAGTCTTTTTTAGTTTGTTTAGCAAAAAATAAAAACCCCAGTGGTGATTAAATACCACCAAAAGAAAGCTCTATCTGTCTCAAAAAAAGATAAAAAGTTTTGTTTGGGTACAGTGTTGCATGACCGCGCAATTGTCATTCAAAGTGCGACAGCGCTGAAAGCTGAAAATTGGCCTGGCCAGGAAGGGGGTAAAAGTCCCTGGTAGGCAAGTGGTTAAAGCCTTAGTGTAGCAAAAATTATAAACAGGAAAATCAGCACAAGGAGCGCAAGTTAGTCAGTAGGATGTATCCCTTGTGCTAATTCCTCCCCTTTTTGAGTATATGCTAATAAATGTACATTCACAGAGAAATATTCTGAATACAGGAGAACACATCCAAATGTCACTTTGGCAAATAACCAGTGTATAAGAAAAAGTACAACGAAGAAATGTAGACAAGGATCAGTTGCATCTACAGTGAATGTATTCAAAATTTTGGCAAACAGATGGCGTATTGACAGTTAACACATAACCAAACTGTAAATCATACAATGATCTAAGCAGAATAAACTGGAGGGGCCTGTGCCTGAAAAAACCCATCGCCCGTGTCCCATCTGCTCTTGTAATGTGTGGTGGCCAAGTATTAAATATGGCCGTCATGGCAATACTCAAATAAGGGAACTATATTGTAGATTAGAATCTGCTATCAAGAAATGGAGAGTGCCTGCAGTGGCTTGGTTAGCTAATTCCTCCTTCTTCTTTTTTTTTTTTTTTTTTTTTTTTTTTTTTTAAGTTCATCCATCCCTGATTCAGATTTCTTCATACCTAGGCTATTTGTGCCTAAAGAAATAGTGGTAAACATTTTACTTTTTGGTATGGGGATATTTTTCATTCTTAAGACAATTGGTGATCTTTTAAAATATCTGCCCCAATTACCATTGTTCCCCTGCTGTTAAACTAGTGCCAACAGCTTCTCTCTCTTCCCATTGAGATGGCTAAGATTTCAAGTTTGTGGAGTTATGTGCCCTGAGGATGGTTGTATCATGTATGCACACCCAACCACCATCTGATGTCTCTGACAATGAGATTAAAATATATCAAGACAAAAACCTTTTGTTTTGAATAGTGTGGGAAAGTGTTATAACTTGTTTGGTTGGAACTGGTCTCTTGGGCTCTTTTTAAAGGGGTTTTCCCTCTTTCTGTCCTGATGTTTTACCAGTCATGAAGTGAGGAGAACCCTGGGTAGCAGTAAAAGTTCAGCAGGGGTTCTAGTCTTTCCCCAGTCTGTCCAAAAAAGTTTTGGCTTGTCAAATGTTTTAATATGACCCCTCGTTTCTGTCTAATACATAAAGCTGACGTGATTAAGCTCACTGCTTCCTATTCACAACTGGAATATCCGTTTTGTCTTTTGTCATGTTTGTTTATTGAAGATTAAATTGTATTTTGCTCTTTATTTTCTTCAGGAAATATGATGAAAGTGTTAAGGGGACACCAAAACTGGGTGTATTGCTGTGCATTCTCCCCTGATTCATCCATTTTATGTTCCGTTGGAGCTGGTAAAGCAGTAGGTGTCAAAGTCCTTTAATTTTAATTTTTTTTGTTATGAATCAATTAAAATGAGAATTAAAATCTTAGCATAAGTTTGCTCAGTGTCTTCTGTGATCTAGCATTTTGATGTGAAGCATTTGAATGCATGATTAAATGTTTATGAAAATATAAAATGGCATAAATAATCCATAATTTGCATTGCTTTTGGCAAGCTGATCCATTTCAAATATCTTAGTGAAAATTAGCAGTATCCATTCCCTGTGTCATGAGACTCATCCCTTGCTTTGCACATGCTAATATGGTTAAAGAATATCTAAAGCCAAAACATTTTTTTTATTTTTTTAATTAGTTTTGGGTAGTTTGGAAGGTTTAGAGCATCTGTCAGATTTTTATTGTTGCTTTTGTCCCCACAGGGGGATTCACCCTCTAATTGTCTTGCCGAAGGTTGTAAGGGAATTTTAAATTTTAGACAAATGTATATTTGAGATTTAAAAAGATTACAAGAACAACCATGTCACCATGGGTATACTAAACAAGTACATATGCAAACCGTGTCCCGGTACAAAGATCTGGTATGGCACTGGGAAAAAGGGAAAATGTCCCGATGAGACACAGACACTCCAATAGCCTGGGCATATGAGAGGGGACAGACCAACCAAGTTTCTCTGCTTACAGAAAGGAATATATCAGCCAGGCAAATGGACTCGGTGAACAGTGAAAGCAAGAAAGGAAAGCGAGGAAGAGATGAGACCGGAGTAGTGAGGTGAGGTTATGAGAGAGGGGGTAGATAAACCCATATTGGTAGTGGGTCTCGATCCGCAGGAACAACTCCTAGGGGGAGCCTTGGGAGTTGACATTTATGACTAAAAGAGCAATCGAACCGCTTTAAGTGGGAAAAATCCTAAATTTGTGTTGTCACCAGCACAACAGAAGAGTGAAAACCTAGCAGTGGAATATTGTTTAGTGGGACAACTGTCTGAGGGTTTTTTCCTCATTTAGGAGAGCTTTCTTCACTTCCAGTTGGGTCTACTATGGATATCTTCCCAGTTATAGACAGATGGCAAAAAGGTTGTTGCGCATCTCCTACTCTATCCAAGATTAGAAGAAAACGTTTCGGCTTTAGATCTACTTTTAAGGTGTATCTGAGCCAATAAATAGTTCTGGAAATGCACATTCTTTACAAATCCTGTTAGTAATTCAATATTAATGGCAGCTGCCAGAAATGATACATACTACTGAATCTGAATATAGTGAAGGGTACTGCTCCTTTTAGCCCATATGGCACAGATAATGATTCATGCTTGTTCATGTATATCTTGTTCTTTAATAGATTTTAGACATTTTATGTAATGAAAAATATTTGCAAAGTAGTTAGTCTAATGAATGTAAAACATTTTTTTCCCAAAGGAGCAGTACAGTTGTAGACTATATAATGTATTTGATAATTGATGTGCATATTTGTTAACCTTTTGCTATTATAGGCTGCGTGTTTTCCATAAGCTTCTTGCTTTCCCTGTCACAGGTGGTGGCAGCAATGTGGGTGTGATTGAGGTTAAGTTGGCACCACACACAGGAGAGCACAGTGGTGTTAGCTGGGCAGAGAGTGGCATCTCTGGCTACCAGGCTGGGGACGACCAATGCCATAGGACGAAGTAACCTTGCTTGCGACTGCAAGGTGTACTGTACGTACGCAGGTGCTGGTTGATGTCCACTTTCTGCTTTTTTTTTTTTTTCTTTTTTTCTTTTTTATTTTCATTGTTTGTACTTTTTAGATTGTATTTACTTTCATTGTCTAACACTCCAGTTAAATGGAAGTTTTATAACTAAATTGTAAGCATTTTCCTAGTTATAAATTACGTTTTTTATATGAAAATGATACTCTGCTTTCACTGTAATAGTATAATCTGACTTGTGAAGGCATCACACGATGGTCACATTCCTATATATTTATATTGTAACTTGTGAGGCTATACATTTTGATATATAAAAATGCTTATTAAAGTAAGGTGTTAGTCTGTATTGTCCTTGTCTTGTTTGCCAAAAGTGATTTCTTTTGGCTGTCAATTCTCTCTTTTCTTGCAGTATCTGTTTGTCTTCCTGGGCTCACGTTGGTGATGCAAGCCTTTTGTATACAAGTGAACTTATTCTCTCAAAGGGAGTACAACTGGAGTAACCATATAATAACTTTTATACTATGTTCGTACAAATAGCTTTATTATTGTAAACAATGAAAACAGGGGTTGTAATAAAGAACCCATCTGTTCCTTGTGTTAGCCATAAAGCAACATAAATTCAGTATTTATATCTTATCTTGTGCATTTAATAGAACTTGCTTTTAGCAGTAACCTGTTAACTTGAGCTGATTTTTAGTTCTTGCATGCTTAACTTTTTAATGTTATACCATTAATCTATTGGGTATGACACTGAGCAGTTGCAGTATTTTTTGATGGTTAATTAATACTCTGATTATTAAATAATGTTAGCTTTATAGATCTGTCAGCTAGTGTGCTTCCCATTTCATGTCTATAACAACTTTGTTTTTCCTTTCAGGTGTTTCTGTGGGACATGGATAAATACAATATGATTCGTAAGCTAGAAGGGCACTACAATGATGTGGTAGCATGCGAGTTCTCCCCTGATGGAGCTTTGTTCTACTGCATCGTATGATACGAGGGTTTATGTTTGGGATCCCCATATTGGGTGTATTCTTTTTGAACTTGGGTAAGCAGATCCTTCTTTCTTTTTTTTTTTTTTTTTTTTTTTTTTTTTTTTTTCTTTTTTTAATAAATGAAAACAGTTGTTTTACATAGCTCATTCTGTTTGAGCTGCAGTAGATCCAGGTAATCCTACAGTTTACTCTGTAGACCACGGACTTCAAGTTAGAAAGCTTATGTCATGCCTCCCAGCTTCTATCAGGCCAGCGATTTTAAAGGGGTTAAAAAAAAAATGGAAACGCTACACAATTTGCAGTTGTGAAAGTGACATGTTTTGTGTTGCAGCGGAAGTGATGTAGTATTTTTTTTTACTTCCGCTTTATGGTGAGACACCTAGCTAACAGGTGGGAAGCCTCACTTTTGTCATTCATTGCGTGCTAGTAATACGCAGTCATTTCAGAGCTTACTGAGCTTCAAAGAGAGCTGAAGTTGCCAATTTATATGCCGTGTTGTGAGGTACAGTATCAAAGGTTATGACGGTATATACTGTCTCTGGGAAAATGGCGTCTGATAAGTATAGGCTCTGCTGACATGGTCACCTGACCAAAAGGACATTGCGTGGGATTGTGACCCAGGATAAGAAAACAACTGCAAAAGTAACTGCAGAGCTCAATCTCAGTCCTGTGAATTGCATTTGTATTCTGACAGGTACCCAACCCCCCCTCTTGCTTTTTCCAGGAGCTCTTGTAAACTATGTTTTACCCTGTAGTGGTGCTTCTGTTGCATTAATGTACAGGTTCCATTGAATTATTGCAGAATACTTTGATTCCATTGCTCTCTTGCAGATTTCTGAAAATTTCTATATCCTTTAACTGTTTACACCTGACTACCTCTATCACATTTTTAAAATTTGCTCACTGCTTCTTCAAACTTGTGAACACTTAAAACTCAAGTCCAAACAAAATAATTTTTTAGTTGAAATGCATAAATAGTTTCAAGACCGTTTCTGTCTTGCCTTATGAAGGTCCCAGATGTCTCTGCGGCTATGCTACAATTGAGTAGCAGCACTAGGGAACCACTCACTGTTAACTGTGCAGTAGATTTTGACTCACTCAAAATGCTGCCCTCACTTTCCCAATCTAGGTGTAGGGGATAAAAGGAGCATAACATCAATGTAAAAATGTCCTTAACTTGAACTTTTAACAAATACTATTATATGCTGGATATATGAATGTGCTTATTTTACTTTATTCTTTTGTCTGGAGTAATTCGTGATCTAATGGGCTAGTTTCCTAACTCCTTTTTGTTATGAAGGAGACTGACCCAGCAGTTTGAAAAGCCAATTTGGAAAACTAAGGAGCCTAATGTCAATATGTCAATAGAAATATGGGTGCTGCAGTATCAGATTTTTGTTTAATAAGTTATTAGTGGTAATTACCTCATGTCTTGATTTCTTAATGAGTTAATGACTTAGAGCAGACATGTAGCTATTGGACAGAAGTTCTGAACTTAAAAAATAACAAAAAATGTATGACTGCAGGTTTTGTTGTTTTTTTTATTAATGCTTGCAATCCATATGGGGAATTAGGTTTTATCATTTTATGCTAATATAAAATGGCGCAGAAACCTGCAATGCGTTATGAGTTTTATTTTTATAATTTAAATTTATTATTTTTTTTATTTTTTTTTTGCAGGCACTTATTCCCTCCACCCACACCTATATTTTGCAGGGGGAGATAATGGTCGATGGGTGAGATCTGTCTCGTTTTGTCATGACGGAGTACACATTGCAAGTCTTGCTGACGACAGGTAAGTGTCTAATATTCTTCAGACAGTGTATGACACAGACTGTACAGATGTAATGATGACATGACTTGGTGAGCCCCATTATACTGTTCTATGATTTCTGGTAGCACTGCAAATGACAGAAGGGTATTATCACTAGTGTGTGCATATCGGGTGTCCTGATTCCCCACTGCCTACATGCTTGCTCCATATCAATGATTTACTAACGGAGGTAAACTTAAAGTGTTACTGAACCCACAACAGTAAAATCAATCTGTATATGCAGTAAAGCATGCTTGTTATACTCACTGAAACCTAAGGGGCCAGGGGTGTGGAAATTTTTGAGAAAAGTACTTGTCCAGGGACTAAATCGGTGCCCCAATCTACTTGTCCTGTTAAAAAAAAAAAAAAAAAAAAAAAAAAAAAAAAAAAAACTAACTTTTAACCAAAACCATTTTTAAATATGCTTTAAGTAATGTCTGGGTCTTTAAAAAAAAAAAAAAAAGGGGGGGGGGGCTTTATTCCGACTTAAATGTTTAATTGTTTTTAACATTGCGCTGTTTATCTGCTCCTCCTCTCCCTGGGGAGAGACCATGCAGTGTAATGAGCACTGATTGGCTGCTCCTCAGGAAAGGAGAGTGTCGGGCTTATTCTTTATCCCTTTCGCTGCCAGAGCTGATTTTGTGTTTTTTGCACAGGTTTAAAAAATCATTTAAGGCCTGAAGATGACCTAAAACCCAAACATTATGTATTTTCTGAAATCAGAGATCCTAGTGAATAAAATAGTGATATTATCACAGAGGTCTAGGAAATGCAAAATTTCAGTAAAAAATACACTTAAGTTAATTTTAGGGCACAAAAAGCAATAAATTACCCTATTTTTTTTGTAAAATGTAAAAGATGAAGTTGTACCAAGTAAATAGATATCCAACACGTCAAAGCTTAAATTTGCGTGCACTCATGAAATGGCAACAAACGTTTGTACCCTATATTTTCTATAGACGACACTTTTAAAGCCCCTTTTATAGGTCATCAGTTTAGCGTTACGGAGGAGGTCTGGTGCTAGAATTATTGCTCTCATGCTGGCGTAAGCGTCAATATGTAAAGTGTATCGCAATCGACAGTTTCATGTGTAGGCACCCGAGCGTGTGCTTTTACGTTTGTGCATGCATACATGTGTGGGGGGTCCTTCAAGAAAAAAAAATTTACTTTTACTTTTTTTTTTTTATCATAAAAAGTCCCCATGTGGTGATTTTTCTGGTGACAGGTTCTCCTTCCTTCCTTTTTTTTTTTTTTTTTTTTTTTTTTTTTTTTTTTTTTTTTTTTTTGAGACAGCCAGGGTCTAAAATGTCACATCACTTCCAGGTCAGGAGAAGAAGGGGAGGGGAGCGGATGTGTCCACTCTCCTCCCTCCCCTATTCCACATCCCACCGCCACACACTGAGCCAGTCCCGGTCCCGCAGATGGGCAAGTGGAGTCCGGGACATATAGCGTACGGGGGGGGGGGGAGAAGAGGCTGACACTGTGGGCTGTATGGAAGCAATCCGGTGGCAGGGCTGCCGCCCGAATGCTTCCACCTGACAGATGAGCCCCGCTGCTTTCCTGCAGCAGGGCTGAAGGCAAAAATAATTACTTGCCCAGCGCCCGCAACTACATGCGCTGGGCATCGGGCGATAGGAATTGCACATCTCTGAGGGATTAATCCTTGGCATTGCGTAAAAAGGCTGTTCGATCCGGGCTTCTCTGATCCTCCCCCTCTTCTTCCACATTCCCCAATCCATCTGCTGATGGTACAGAGCCCTAGAAGGCACTCTGCACACGCTCAGTTTGGTTTGTATTGCTAGATAGTGTTCTTTTTTTGGGAGGGTGCAGGTGATCAGCACAGGGCCAGTCAACTTTGTTCAGACAGAAGGTCAGGGGTCATGCAGCCTCATAGGACAGTCAGAGGAGAATGAAATCTCCTCCTACAAGCTTTACCCAGTGTTTGTCCGGACACTGATAGAAGTCACAAGACTACTATACAGTATACTGCTTATGAGAAAAGGTGTTTAGCAGTTTATATTTACCAGAATAATTGCATTTTCATGTTCTGTGGAAGAGCGAATATAGTGAATACAGGGTCCTGGGTTTAGTAACCCTATAAAGTGCTTCTAAAGGCACAAGGTTTTTTTACCTTCATGCATTCTATGCGTAAAGGTTTAAAAAAAAAAAAAAAACCCCTGTGAGTTGCAGCCTCCCCAGCCCCATCCCAATCCAGCAATGTCCACGAGAGCCTCGATTCTCCAGATGCTCACTCCAGATTGGCTGAGACAGCAGCAGGAGCCATTGGCTCCCGCTACTGTCAATTACAGTCAGTGGGCTAATCAGGATAGGCGGGGGGGGTGTGGCCAAACTCTGTCTCTGTCAGAATAGACACTCAGAGCTGCGGCTCGGCAACATGTCTGCTTGGTTGCCCCCATAGCAAGCAGGAGAGAGGAACCAGGAGTGCCTGCGGAGGACCCAAGAACAAGAGGGTCCAGGCTTCTCTGTGCAAAACCACTGCACAGAGCAGGTAAATATAGACATGGTGGTTGTTTAAAAAAAAAAAAAAAAAAAAAAGAGACTTTAGTATCACTTTAAGCATAGCAGGCTTGGTATTGAGTACACCTTTACAAAACATTTCTGCCATATTTGGGATAATTGTATCTCAAATGGTTCCCTTAAACTGCATTGCAGCAAAAAAATTGATTAGAGGCAGTTTTTGGCAATGTTTGCAACCTTTAAGGCTACGTTCACACTAGCCTTGTTAGCAAGCGGCAGGCAGGCGTTTGGGAAGCGTTTTTACCATTTCCCAAACGCCTGCAAAAATTCTGCACATTGCAGCACATGGTGCTGTTCAAACGGGAGCGTTAGCGTTGCGGCAAAACGGACGCCTCTGGTTGAGTTAGGAGGAGTTGAAGCCTCCTACTCAAGTCTCTGGTGCTGCTCTGCAAACGCCCGGCCGGCGTGTGCGGTTGCGGAGCATTAACACCATTCAAACTTCATTATAGGCGTTTGTGGTGCGTTTTTAACGCTTGGCAAACGCCTAGCAACCACCGCTAAACCGCACACACGCCGTTTGTGGAGCGTTAAAAACGCTCCGCAAACGCCGGACCGAACCTTGTCGAATGTTATAGGGGAGTTTGGCAAGAGTTGTAAAACAGTCAAGTGTGAACGAGCCCTAAGTAAGTCAGCGGTGAGTTTATTTGTAGCATTATTGCTAGAATTTGAGTTTTCTTGGTTTTGGTATTTACATATTTTTGCAGCTGTTCTTCAGTGTGAAAATTGTTTACTGTTGTAGGTTGGTGAGGTTTTGGCGCATTGATCGCTCCTATCCTGTTGAAGTTGCACCTATAAATAAAGGTCTTTGCTGTGCCTTTTCTACTGATGGCAGTGTTCTAGCTGCTGGGTAAGTTAGATTGTTGTAACTGTATTTCCTAACTTTGGTCAGGTATTGCTGGCTTTGCCTTACCACTTTCACTATTACCATGTGTATCGCCCACTTTTACTGCTGCAAGACATCTTTTACCTGTGTAATCTTTTCAGAGTGTTGGGGTCCAGTCAGCTCTGAAATCCCCCAGGGTCCCTGATGCAGCAAGCCTGCTGGTTAAATTTAGCATGCTTTCTCTAGGTACTGCCACTCCACTGATAGATGCTACAAATGTGGGCATATTCTTTTCTTTGTCTGTTCTGCTGTAAACCTCTGGGACCCCATTCCCAGCTTTGCATTTTACTACATATACTGTATTTTGGACTTTTTTTTTGGGGGGGGGGGGGGTGTTAACATGCAGATATTTTTGTTTTTTTTTTTAAATGCAGGTAAAACACATTTAAGTGGTAAATGGGGCCCTACAATGTTGATGTATACCACCAATGGTTTAGATTCCACACTTCACAAAATGCTGGTTTGCTTTGCTTTGTTTTAGTGAGCCTGTGTATTGGAGGAAAAAAATTCAATTAATTTTGGAGCCAATGGCCTCCTGACTTTTTTTTTAATTTTTTTTTTTTTTTTTTTTTTGTAATTGCAGAACTCAGGATGGAAATGCATATTTCTGGGCTACCCCCATTTATGTTTCCAGCCTTCAGCACTTATGTCGTATGGCAATAAGAAGAGTGATGACTACAAATCAAGTCCAGAAGCTGCCAGTGCCTCCAAAAATCATGGAGTTTCTTACATACCAAATTTTATGAGGAACTTTTATTCCATCAACTGGTTCCATTTGTTGAAACTGGCAACAACACACACAAATGCATTACACAATTTATGCTTTAAATGTTACAACCTATTTGAATATTTAAAGTACAGTATTTAAAAATATGGATGCATTTCTGATCATGCTGAGCTTTAAATGTGATTTAGGAATTTTCTACATTCCTACAAAAATTGGAATGTGGACTCTCAATCTGTACAACTGTGAAACTGTATATACATGTGTAAGCTGCTATATGTGCATTTCTGTTTGCTTAAATATTTAGAACTTTCAGTATGGCTTATTTTAGAATGTCTTTGTTCTATCTTTGTGTGTGATAAACCAGAGTCTGCTAGGTGTGTGCTGCAAAATGTGCACTGGGACTATCCATTCAATGGTGCTGTAGGCAAGAGGTGCCCTAAATGAGTTTTCCCCTAACTTACTTTTAACTTTACTCCCTTTTTTTGGGGGGGGGGGGGGGGGGGGACTATTGTCACAAAATACAGATTAACTCACTTTTTTAGTTTTTACTTCAGGTCTTTCGATCTCTCCAGTCTGCACAACAGTTAAGTAAATGTTTTAGAGATGAGTTTGTGGGGTTAGATTGTATTGCAATATTCTACATGTGAGCCCTCATGAAAACCTTTTAGGGGTTTATTTTGGTTGGCTGCCAAAGATGAGCAAAGTGTTCTCTACTGCCTTCTGCTGTTTATTTGCACTTGCAAGTTAAACGAATGTATGTAGTGCACCTAATGCTAACCATATATTTTTGTTGAATTATGCCAAAAGGTCTATAAATAAACATTTTTTTTGTAATCTTGTGGTTATTACTTCAGCTTGAAAATGTGTTGTTTTATATATACATCCGTCTTGCAATCAGTTTTATAAAATGGATGATCATCAATTTACATCGCCTACATCCATGTCAGTTCAAGTCTATTTTTCAAACTGAACAGCCAATGTCCAGATCCATTGAAATGGAATGGATGTAGACTGATGTAAACTGAATAGAACTGAACTGATATAAACCGATGTGAATTGAACTATTATAAACTGAAGTGTAAACTGAACTGGACTGAAGACAGATGTGCAAACTGATGTAAGCTCAATCAGTTTTTTCTTTTGGAAAAACAATGACTGAAAGGATGACGTCCTGTGTGAAAGAGGCATGAGAAAAACAAAAAAAAACGAATGCAGCCGCCACTTCTAAAAATTGGTAAGCTGAAAATTTAATACATTTTGGGTTTAATGCAGTTTTACATAAACCCAGCCTAGTCTAGATGTAAACAGATTAAAGCCGCATTAAACCCAAAAGTAAACATTATATTGCAACTTACAATTTCATAGATGTGATGGCTGTATTAATTTTTCTCAAAAATGTCTTCAAGAACAGCCCCTTGAGACATAGAGCTTTGCCTTCTGGGATAGGAAACACGTAAGCCCATAACCTTAAAAGGCTGACCTCCAGGCCTCCTTTAGTATTAATGTTTCCACCAGAAGGATAGGTTACATGTTATAGGAGCCTTAGGCTCAAGGGGGTGCTGGTGGCTCCTGTTTAGGTAAGTACCTCCTCCTTGCCTAGAGCAATCCCTCAGTTTCAGTAGAGGAGTGGAGCTGCGCTCCTGTTTGCTTTCCAGTCCTCACAGGAGGAGGACCGCTGAGGGTGTCCAGTGCTACCGCCAGTGGCCAACTCAGCTTCCTTACGGCCGGGCGGTCGTGACTGTGACTACTGGGAAGCGGAGCAGCTGCGCTTCAAGCTGGTTAAACTGGAAGTTCCAGTCGTGGCGGTGTTATCGACGGGCGCCGGGAGACTCGTGATTCCGGTCTCCGACAGCGCAGGCGACAGTGCTCGGGTGGCTGGTGCAGTATGAAGAGACCCAGCAGAGACTGTGGCTACCACCTCACAAGGAAACTAATGGAGGACACTGCCCCCCAACCCCCCCCCCCCCCCCCCCCCCCCAAGCCCAGGACAAGAAACAGAGTCAGGCTCCCAAAAGGAAGTGTGCAGTTTGTGCAGCAAAATTTGGTTCAGCTTGGAAAAACCCCTTATGTCGCAATTGTGTGGATAATCTAAGGATGAGTCATTTTACAGCCTGCCATAGGGTTCTCACCTTCATTAAGGATGACATAACTACATTTCAGTCATTTAGATCCCTGCTGTATAGAATGCAGATGCTGCTGGGGCCTTGGACCCAGTCTGCAGGTACTGCGGTGTCAGAGGCATTGAAAAGGGAGGAGGACCAGGATGAGTATCCTAGGCCCCTTGCTTCCTCACAAGCGGGGTCAGGCTCAGAGGAGGACAACTGAGAAGGTTGCTCCTCCAGGGGTTCCAGGTACAAATTGGCCCTTGATGTTGTGGATGACCTCCTTAAGGCTGTCTATGAAACCTTGGAGATCGAGGAGGAGGACATATGTCTGTCTAAGCATGACCTCACCTCAGGGTCTACATGCTAAAAAGACATGGGTCTTTCTAGTCCATAGTTCCCTGGTTGATACCATTAAGCTGCAGTGGGAAAACCCTGAAAGGAAGACCTTTTTTTTCTGGTACTCTTAAAAGGAGAATCCATTTTGAGGAAGACTAATCCTAGCCATGGAACAAAGTTCCAAAGTTGGACACCCCCTTATCTAAAGTCTCTAAAAAGGCAAACTTAGCATTTGAAGATATAGGGGCTCTAAAGGATCCCGTGGATAAGAGGAGAGAAATCTTGCTCCGGAGGGCCTGGGATTCTACCTCAGCTTTAAGCCGGCTTTATTGGCCACCTGTGTCACCAGAAATCTGAAATGCTGGCTTACCCAGTTACAGATGCATCTCTCAGCAGGGACATCCAGGCAGCAAATACTAAAGTCCTTTCCTTTGCTGTTTAGAGTGTTCGGTTTCCTTGCGGATGCCTCCAATGAATCAGTTAAACTAGCTGCGAGAACATCTGCCCTGGTGAATTCAGCTAGAAGGGCGTTATGGTTAAAGACCTGGGTAGGGGACTCGGCATCCAAGCTATGTCTTTGTGCCTTACTCTTCACAGGCGATAACCTTTTTGGTCCATATCTCAAGGACGCTTTGGTGCATACAGCCGATAAAAAGAGGGCGTTTCCAGAGAGTAAAAAGAGATCTTACTCCAGGAGGGTTTTTTTTTTTTCAGAAAACGCAGGTCCAGCAATGTATGGATGTTCAGCCCAAGAAACATTGGACATGGTACAAGAACAAGGGTAAGAGGGAGATCTTATTCTCGAGGACGCTTTGGTGCATACAGCCGATAAAAAGAGAGCGTTTCCAGAGAGTAAAAAGAGATCTTACTCCAGGAGGGTTTTATGTCAGAAAACGCAGGTCCAGCAATGTATGGATGGTCAGCCCAAGAAACATTGGACATAGTACAAGAACAAGGGTAAGAGGGAGATCTTATTCAATCCTCAGGGCCCCGCCAAGTCTCAATGACTCGAGCATCACAGTGGGAGGAAGACTGGGGACTTTTCTCCCTCAGTGGGCTTCAATCTCCTCAAACCCATACATTCTGGACTTGATAGAAAAAGGGTACAGGTTGGAGTTTGACTCCATTCCCCCCGCCAGGTATCTGGTAACCAATCTTCCCAGGGATTGGGAGAAGGCACAGGCTCTGTGTGGCCTAAATGGAAACCTGGTGGATCAACGGCCCTTACTCTGGTTCCCTGCAACAAGCAGGGGATGGGATTTTATTCCCATGTTTTTGTAGTGAACAAGCCCTCAAGCAAGTTTTGTCTTATCTTAAAACTGCACCCTCTCAATCAGTCTTTAAGGTACAAACACTTCAGAATGGAATCGATCTTCTCTGTAAAAAAACATCCTTTTTCCCAGATTGTTTCATGGCTATACTGGATCTGAAGGATGCGTATCTTTACATCCCCATTCAACATGCATGTCAGAAATACCTAAGAATAGCAGTAAGGATTGGCACAGAGATCCACTACTGGTAGTATCGGGGCTCTACCTTTTGGTATGGCCTCAGCACCGAGAATTTTTACGAAAGTGCTTGCGGAGGCCTTGGCTCCTCTAGCAATGAGGTCTATTACGATCATTACCTATCCGAACGATCTCCTCTTCGTGGCCAGGTCTCACCAACAGTTGATGGAGGATCTGTGGATTGCCCAGGGCTTCCTTCAGGCCCTCCCAGAGAGTTGCCTATCTTGGGTTGAAGAAAGATCTTCCTTCAATGGGAAAAAATTCTCAGGATAGTTCAGGTGCTGGCAGAGCTGCAGAACAATTTGTCCATTACAATATGGGATATCATGAGGGCATTAGGTCTTATGACATCCCGGCTGTACCCTGGGCGAGATTCCACCAGTGTCAACTGCAGTTTTGTTTTTTTTTGTTTTATTTTTTTTTTCTTCTTAGGTTTTGGAACGGGGACAGATCCTCTCTGGATCTTGCAGTCCGGCTCCAGTCCAGAATCAAGAGATCCCTTTGGTGGTGACGAATGCAGTACAATCTAGTCAAGGGTCTGGAATGGACCACACCTTATCCGGTTATCATTCCGACCGATGCCAGCAGCTAAGTGACAGAGCAGCCCAGGGGTCGTAGTCCTTGGGGGAAGCTCGGAGATCCTCGAATCAGAGAGAGCTTCTAGCAGTCCAGCGAGCACTAGATGCCTTTCAAGCAGATATAATAGACCGTCGCCTGCAGATCAGACGATATGGCTACGGTGGCATAGATCAACAAGCAGGGGCGTACAAGAAGCCCTTCTCCCAGGCAATTGCAGACAGCATACTGTCTAGGGCCGAGCAAAATTTGTGTTCGATATCTGTCATCCATCTGAAAGGAGCGCATAATTTCCTAGCAGACTTCCTAAGTCAGCATCCAGTCAAGCACGAGGAATGGTTTCTCAACCAGGAAGTGTTTGCGGCCATCACTTTGAGATGGGGCATGCCGGAGGCCGATCTCTTTGTTTTCCAGGAAAACAGTAAAGTCAGCCAGTTCTCCCTAAATCCGCAGGATCAGGCCTTGGATGTAGATGCCTTCGCAAACTTGTGGGA